ATTTATATATACATTTACAGATTAAAAAAAAATATTATTATATTATGTTTACATGTATATTATGTAAACAAAAGTAATCACCCAGTCATCGATTTATAGCCTTGCACTACCCGCTCATGCAACATACCAATTGAAAGCTAAATAAATTCTGCATCATCTGACAGATAAATATCGTGTGTATAATTAAACATTGACCAAAACAAAACAAAAATCAGGCTTAGCAAAATGTTGCGAAATCAAAGAGACGTCAAAGTGTTTACGCGCGTAGATTGAGTGCATCAACGTTGGTTGAATGGACATGCATAGAAAATCCAATAAAAAGAGAATATATTTGTCTCTGCAATGAACAGCATTCTGGTGATATTTTCAAACAGACTGGAAAACAAAGCTGTTAAAAATACTTCGCAAAACCTGGACTTAACATCACATTATGTGCTCATTAGTAATGTTGGTTTTGTTTAGGAGCTATTGGCTTTGTATAGAGCACGTAACCTTTTTTGCACATAGACTATGTTAGTGATAGTTAGTTTTTGGACAAAATCATCTTTCAGAGAGGAACAAAAGTAACGAAACTGCCATGTTTTGGGTGGTCTGGGGCGGAATGAACAAAATCGCCCTCGTGTGAATCGTCGGAGGGCTTGGTTTAGTTGGCTACATCGCGCAAGTGCTGGAATATGGTGCCATTCAAGTAGACATCTCCATGCATAGCAAAGCATTTTTTCAGAGGGCTAATGCGACGAGACATTTCTTGGAAAACCAAATCAAGTCAAAGTTGGAGTGGTCACCAGCAAATAGCCACGATATGAATCCTACAGGTATGTGAAGTCCCATGAAATAGCAGCTGAAGAAAAGCGACTTTACTCCCAATTCTAGCCCTTGTTTATAACTCACTGTGTCATTTGGGATGAAATAACTGATAATAAATTATGTCCAAAATTTAATAGAGTCGATTCTCAAAGGGTTCGTGCACTATACAAAGCCAATGACTCTTAAACAAAATAACAATGAGCAGATTTAATGAAAAGTCCAAGTCTTCCGTGGTGTTTGTGATTGCTCTGTTTTCCGTTTTGCTTGAAACTATCGTAATCAAATATAGATCTAGCAATAAAATATTGTTTATTGCAGAGACCAAATTCTCCGTTCACTGGATATGCAATGTTTTTCCATTATATCAATATTAATGCTCCAAAATTCCCGTGTG